GAAATAATGTACGTAAATTTGTTTTTGTTTTTTTTCTTACTAAAGAATTAAAACTTTGTTACAATAAAGTACTACCAAAATAATTCTCAGTTAGTTTAATTTAAAGTTTTTTTTTTTTTTTTTAGTCAGCAATTTGAGCTCTATGTGGCTTTTACGATTGTCGCGTGGCGAAACTTTAACGGCACTCGCGACACTCGTCTTTACACTTCGCCTTTGCGATTGCGTTTATAATTGTAAATACATCATAAATTTTGCCTTTTTATTTTTTTAATAATTGCTCCCCCCCCCCCCCACCTCTTACTTGTGCATGGTAAATATGTAAGTATCGAAACCAGCGTCTCTACACATTCTTCGAACGCCAGGTACTGCCCCAGTCACCTAATTCTAACACAACACATCGAGAATTACGCAGGATAATATTCTCTAGCTTAAGTACAGTACTATACGGCTGTAAGTCTTTAGATACGGAAGCATATGTATCGGACGTGGATAGTGTGTATGTGTGTGTGTGTGTGTGTGTGTGTGTGTGTGTGTGTGTGTGTGTGTGTGTGTGTGTGTGTGTGTGTGTGTGTGTGTGAGAGTGTGAGTGTGAGTGTGACATACGAGTATCTCTTTCGCACGCGTACCCACGTGGTTCATTCATGCGATCATTACAGATCATTTTTATGCAAGTCGAACAGCTGTCGGTGTATACGCAATGCAATCGATCGTACTGAATAGTGTGCACGTCTGTTAACAAGAACAAGGAGAAATGCTTATTTTTGCAAGCTATCAAACGGTTGTAATAATACTCGCTGCCGTTTATACGCACGCCTTCCGGCCGATCGTGTAACAAAAATATAAAGTCATGCATATTCCGCCGTTCGAAATTAAATATAAATTAAATTGCAATTGAAATGCAATTCTTATTAAATTAACGCTGCTTTGATATTTGAATTGTGTTATAATTCGCTATTACGACTTGATGTATAGTAATGCAATTTTCGAAACTAAGGCAAACAGGTTAGCCGGTGCATATAAACGACATATTACCATCACGTTATAGTCTATTATTCTACTACTGGTACAATGTATAATTATTATTACTACGCGACGCATAACAACGATCATTAGTCTTGTCGTTCTCCACCTTACTCTGCTTAGCTGCACCGCGACATACGACAGTTAGAAAAAT